CGCTGGTGCAATGACAAGAATAATTCATTTTTGTACATATCTTTTCTAAAATTTCCATGATCGTATCACGATCTATTCTATTCTGAATATCTGGTCAACTCTATAACGCTTTGATATCAGAATAATTAACTCACTGAGTTCTACAAATTCTAAAAGTTTAAATTTCAAGTATTTTAACCATTAATCGAATACAGTTACTGTTATGTTCTGTCCATATCATTGCATAATCTATGTTGTTTATCTAATGTCAATAGTGATACTTTTCTTTTTCTTTTAAATTATTTTATATTTGTCTTATAAGATAATATTTATATGATTTTTCAATAACTTATTTTGGTAAAGAAATAAAAAATGTATTTTATTAATGGTAAAATATGAAAGTATCATAGTTATTGTTAGAATTTAATTTTACTTTCGTTGACCTTATTTGATATTTCCTGCTCTTTTTCGTTTTAGAATAGAAAACTATAACATATTGGAATAGTTATTCGAAAAGTCTTTTTCGAAAATTCAATGAATTTTAAAGATTTTTTTTTTTTTTCGCTAAGAAAATGTAGTTTTTGTAAATAGTTTTCTATCACTACAAGGGAAGAAGAGCAGATTTACAAGTTCGTTTGAATTCATTCGTATGTTATTGGATAGAATATATTGTGATGAAAAAAGTGCTTAAAGTGTTCAGGTTCAAAGTTTTTTCTTTCAAAATTATGCTATTTTTTTTTTGTTTGATTTTCTTTCATAAAATTTGAGAAAATTGAAAAATTTACAATTCAGTTAGGATAAGTAGTCAAGTTCTCAGAAATATGAGAATACAATTACAACTTGTATTAACAATTTCTTATACATAGTCTTGTGTACTGCAATGTACTGACACGTGCACATATCCAAAATCTCTGATATGCTGGAGATACAACGTGAAATGCCAAAGATACCAAAACCCATATAAATATGGCACATCTCTTAATTATTGGTAAGGACGAAAACATGCACATAGGATATATCTCTCTACTCATTCATAAGCTGACATGAGGGTGCGTACATATACTGACTCAATTACTCTAGAATTTCAGCTATATATATATATGTAGTTATTGTATTAGATGTACTATATTACATGTTATTACAAACCATTACAAGCTATTAGATGAATTCTGAAATTCTAAGTTTTTTAAGGGTATATATATGGGTAAAATCATTCGTTAGCGACATGACATCGCAAACTTGGAGTATGCATATCTCGGAATTATCAGCTGGTTTAGGTGTGATTTTTGTATGCTGTACGAGTCTCTATTTACTCTAGATGCCATGAAAAAATCAACACTCTAGAGCTTTGTTCAGAGGAGTTATTAACGAAAAACTAGCGTTAGCGACGTGACACCAAAAAGGACATCAACTGTCACTTGATATACTTTGACTTTTAAAAATTTTCAAGTGTTGCACAATCACCGAAAACTTAATACGCGATACTATACACGACTCCTAAGACTACTAAATTCTGGTGTAAAATTATTTTGAGCATGTCTAGATTTTTCAAAAAATAAAATTTATTCAGCGTTAGCGACGTGACAATTTCGTTAGCGACGTGACTGAGTACGACTTCACTACCGTTCAAATGCTCTGGTAACGAACTGAAAAGTTCGAAATCGATTCCAAGGGGCTCATGTCAATGGTTGGGATCCCTAGAATAATACTAAAACAAACATTTTCGTTTTAGCTCTCTCTAAAGGCTCTGAAAGGTCGATTTTTTCAAAGCAACTTTTTGACGTTCGATCTCGCTGAAAATTTTACCATATATGCGGCTCATATCCTAGAGCCTATTCTGAAGTTTTCAAGCTTTTTCGTCATTCGATTATCGAGATATACGCTAATTACTTCTTAATTAATTAATTATTAATTAATTAATAACCATGTGAAAGAGCAGACAATTTTACATAAGCCTATGCAAAAACAATTCACTCAAAAAACCTATACTGATAGAGAATTACATTCAAATACAAGGGATAAATGTCCCGTTTTCGCTGATTTTACCCATATGTAGGTTTTTGAAGTATATGTATTGTAAGATATATTATCATATGGTAGTACAAGGAATTACATGACAATACTGAAGAGAACAATGTACTCTTGTTGTGCTATAGATTGTTAGTAATTTTTTTTATTTCAATTTGTAATTGTATTCGTGCATTCTCAGTCTTTTCTTTCTAGGAAGTTTAAATCATATGATATGTATATAAATTAATGAAGAATGAGATTTTATTCTTATTCATCTCGTGTAGAATTCCAATGAAATTCGATGAATAATTCTTTTTTTTTTATAAGATTTTATTAAATTTATTTTGAATGATAATAAATTAGTTATCTTTCTTAAATTAAATTAGTGAAAAATCTCTTGATTATAACAAAAAAATTTTTTTTTTTTCGATTTAATTAAATCAGTTTATTTCTTAAGTTTTTCAAAGTATTATTTTAAGAATTTTTATTAAAATGAAATAGTAATTTATCTAACTTTTATTATCGAATAAATTCAATAAAGATTTATCATTGTGTTTTTAAAAATAATTTTTGTTTTGATCAGAAAATAAACAAAAATGAATTTATGAATTTTTGAAATATTATTAATGTAAATGTTTCATCTCTATGTTTTTAGATTTAATAGATCAAATAAAACAAAAGAAAAATTTATTCAATAATAAAAATAATTGATAAATTAGGTTGAGTTATTTTATTATGAAAAGATTCTTTTAATAATATTTTTTTATTTCTATGATATGTGAATAAATCTGATTGATATTTTATAAGTATAAATATTAATTAATAAGAAGGTGTGAGTGTGGATATGGATGCGAGTGCGGGTATGCCTGAAGAGAATAGCAACACGTAAACCTACATTTACATCCTAAATCTAGAATACTTTCCTATAAATATTTTTATACTTGTTATCTTGAAACGAATTTCCATTAAAATATTATTTATTGATAAAAAGCAGATATCTTCTAAAAATTATACACTTACAATGATCAAATATCGTTTAAAGAATTGTCCGCATCTCACTTTTGACATACAGTATGAAAAATATTTTTTTTTTTACTAAATTGAGTAGGAAGTTCGTGTTTCTCTCATTATACATAAACTTATGTAGAACAACCCATAGGTTCTCACAAGTCATTCTATAGGATTACCTAAAAACTCTTCAAGACCTATCCTATATGGTTAGCAATAAGTACTTAAGGGCTACACTATAAGGGTAACTATAAGTCGAAAAAGGCTATACTATTGGGAATCCATAGGTCCTGTAAGGCTATCTTATAGAGATAATCATATGTTCTTAAAACATATACCATAGAGGATTCTATATTATATGCGTTGAGGACTTATGAATACCTGTATATAATAGCTTTTAAGAACTAATGAGTACTTCTATAGTAGTATATCTATTGAGCACTTATGACTATCTCTGGATAATAAACAATTGAAATCTATGAATACTTATATACAATATCTCTTGAGGACCTATGAATATCTTTGTATGACAATCTCTTGAGAACCTATGGATACTCTTATAGTATAGCCGTTGAGCACTTATGGAAGCTTCGATAGTACAGTCTTTGAGAAACTTGAGTACCTAAACTATCGATGATTCTATAAATCACACATATGTTAAATGCCTAACCAGCTGGATTGATACCCAGTCCTAACTTTGAACTGGCATTGGTATGGGTACCTAATTTCTAGAAGATGTCTGCTTTTCATTAATAATTAATATTTTAGTGGAAGTTCATTTCAAAGCAACAAGTATAAAAATATTTATAGGAAGGTATTCTAGATTTATCATTTCAAAATCATTTTTTCCATTAATACCTCAAAACCAAAACCAATACCATTGATATCAAAACCGTTACTTTAATATCATTATACTGAAACAAATATCTCAAACACAAGAGTTTTGGTACATGCGTAGTGTGGACAATGTTGAATATCAAATAATTGTGTCTTATGGACAACTATAATTGAAAAACATCACTTTTATGATCATTTTATTTCTTTTTCATTAACACTATTCATGAAAGAAATGTGTTTGACAAGCATTTTATTTTAATTAATATTTATACTATTTCTATCACATTATTCTACTTTCAGTAGAGAGCTTAGCAACGTTTGCGTCGTGTTACTTATTTTTTGTTTCCTTTTTCTGTCTATGGCTTTTTTTTCTTGGACATTGAACTCGATAACTTGTTCTTCTTTTCTTTGAACAGTATATTAAATCTTATTCAAAGTCAAGAATTTGTTTCATAAATAAATTCATTTTAGATTGAAAAATAATCATCAATGAACTTAAACAAAAATAAAATTCTGATGATTTTTCAAAAGAAATAATAAAAAAATTCTGTAATAAATTATTTGTTTGATGAATATAAAGATATTTGTATTTTTTTTTTGTATTGGTATAGATGAATTCGATCAATTGACAACATATTTTGAAGATCTATCAAATGAATTATTATATAAAATATTTCATTATCTTAATGAATATGGATTATATAAAACATTTTCAATTCTTAATTTTCGATTTGAACAGTTTCTTCATTTTTTATCTTTTTTATTTAAAACTCAATTTCATTTATTTACAAATGATGAAATTATGAACATGTTTAAACAATTTATACTTTCCAATCGACATCACATATTTTCTATATATATGAATTTTATATTACAAGATAGTTATTGTTTTTTTCTTCTCATTTTTATTTGATTTATCGTTTGATCGTTTTCAATCTATTTTTTAAAGGGACTCAATCTGATATAGAATGTTTACTAAAGAATAAAACATTCTCATTGTTTATTCGACTCTATCAATGTCTTGATTTGTTTTTTTTTATATTATTAAGTAACAAAATAATTCAATTTATTATGAGAAAAAAAAAAGAAATTTTTTTGATTAATCCAAAACATTTTATTTTATTTATTAAATAAATTGTAAAAGAAAAAAAATACATATCTTTGATTCATTTCCATTTTAAATAAACATTATCTAATATACGTTTAATTATAAAAGGAGGAGGTAGATTTTCATATTTAATTGTTTCTTTAATATTTTCAAGTATTTTATCATCTGTTGTTGGAATATTAAGACATAATGAATTAGGATGATGATTATTATATTTCATTTTCTTGAAAATAGTACGAAAAAAGAATTGAATATTCAACAAATTTATAAATCCAACTTTAAAATATTTCATATATATGGACAAAGTTCGAAAATAATATTAAATTGTTTAATATTATTAATCTGTTCAAGATAGACCTTGGTAATTTTACTTGTCTTTTTCATTAAATATAAAATATCAAATTCTCATGCGTTAATTTTCTTTTGTTTGTTGATAATGAATGAATTTTTAATGTAATTATTTGTGATAATAGATTAAGAATTTGAATCAATATAGAAATTGAGATTTCTTTTTCAAAAGTTTCTAAATGATAAATCTTTGTTATTGTTAAAATATATTCAATTTTTGTTAAAATCATAGTCTCCAAAATAAAGTCAGAAATATTTGCAATTGTTAAACTAGGAAATATATAATATTTGACATTATCAGTAATAATATTATTTTCTGTATCATCATACCATTTTTACTATAAGAGAAAATAAAATCCTTTTTCTAGAAAAGAAATCTTTCTAAATACCTGAATGGATGAATTATATACACAATATTTCCAAATGAAAATTCAATACCAAATATCCATTTTTTTTTAATCCAAAATGAAGATGAAAGATCAATTTTTTCTTTATAAAATCCATCATTACTAATACGATCACAATATTTTAGATAAAATTTTTCTAATTCAGGATAGTAATTCATAATTAATAATTCCCATCGATGGGTATTAAGGAACATTGTATCATTTGAACATTTCATTGATAAAGTTTTTAAATTTGAATATATTTTTATTAAAAATATTTCTAATTCATTAAATGTTATATTATATATATTCAAATAAATTGAGTTTAAATGATACAAATTTATTCCAGAAAAGTTATGCAAATTTTTTGCGACTTTATTAACATATAAACGATCAAGTTGTGGAGTATAAGAAGTTAAAAGACCAATTTCATCTAAAGTACAATGATGATCAATCACTAGATATTTAATAGAACTATATTGTTCATCAGTACGAGTGGGTAATGAAATAAGTAAATCAGAATTGCTTGTTGAAAATTTAAAATATTTTAATAATGGTAAATTAAAAACAATTCGATATATATCAGTAGAATATTTCAAAATATTAAAATTATTAATAGTTAATGAAGAAAGACGTGGTATATTTGATAAAGTAGAAAGAACTACTAATAATACATCTGGTTGAACTTCATTAAGAGTAAGAAATTTTAAATTAGTAAATGATGAATTAATACATAACGATGAAAAAAAAAGATTATTTCTTAATGGTAAATACACATATAATGAATATATTTGATATTTATTAATAAGTTTCATTTGTTCGTAAAAATTTGTATATAATAAATATGATGTTAAATGAAATTTCATTTTAAATAAAAGTAAAGGTGAATTCAGAAGTTGTTCAAAACGATAATTAAGATTTGAAAAAGCTTCAAATAATTCATTAACATCAAGATAATCAAAAATTTTATACAATAATTCATTAGATAAATTTTCGATGGAAATTATTATTGACATATTGTATCATATAATTCCTCGTATGATGTTATAAATGAAAAAAATAATTTATATATAACAAAGACATACACTATTAATAATAATATGTAATCAATATCGAATATGTTTATTTTGTTATCTAACTAACCCAACTGATCTGTTTTGTTTGTTTTTCTTTCTTGTTCTTCTCAATAGAATATCTACTGTAGAATGAATCATTTTCATTGTTATTCGACACTATCAATGTCTTGATTTTTTTTTTATGTTACTAAGTAACAAAATAATTTGATTATTTATGAGAAAATAAAAAATTTTGATTAATCCAAAACATTTTTATTTTATTTATTAACGGGTGGTCGGAAGTTTTTCGGACAAAATGTTCAAAGTTGAAACATATATATATGGGAGTGACCAGTCAGTATGGTATCCCATTTTGATGCACTCCTATTGTATGGATAAAACATACTATTGTTCGGGTCATATAAGAGAGGATCCTAGATAACCCTGAATTGGCCCGAACAACATCATGTTTTATCCGTACAAAAGTAGAGAAAAGCTACCAACTCACACGATAAGCTAGTAGCTGTTCTCAACTATTATACGGNTCATATAAGAGAGGATCCTAGATAACCCTGGATTGGCCCGAACAACATCATGTTTTATCCGTACAATAGTAGAGAAAAGCTACCAACTCACACGATAAGCTAGTAGCTGTTCTCAACTATTATACGGATAAAACATGATGTTGTTCGGGCCAATTCAGGGTTATCTAGGATCCTCTCTTATATGACCCGAACAATAGTATGTTTTATCCTTACAATAGGAGTGTATCAAAATGGGGTACCATACTGACTGGTCACTCCCATATATACAACAGTTATGAGAGAAATCCTTTTTATATTGATTACATCGCTTGTCGTGTCCTCTATCTGTCATATTAATTTGACATCTTTTGATTGAATCATTGTTATCAAAATGATTGATCTTTATAAACGTATTTTTTCTATACTTGGGCAAAAACAAAAATTTTAAAAAATTCATATAGTAAAATATTTTGAACAAGAAGGTTTTAAAAGATCGGTACTTCTTCAGATCGACGACACCCTCTCTCATTGGTCGTGTGATAAAAAGGAAAGGAAAATTTTCCTTTCCTCTTTATCACACGACCAATGAGGGAGGGGTGTCGTCGATCTGAAGAAGTACCAAAAGATCAACATTTTATGATATAATAAAACATTATGAAATTGGTTTACCAGTAGAACACTGTTCAGGGGTTGGTCGTCCACCATATTTTAATAGAAAAAAACTTGAAACATTTGCAAAATGCTGCTGCGAATCGTGTTGGTATCAGTCAACGAAAATTAGCAAGAAAATTTGGTGTCGGAAAAATAACTATTCATGACAATTTGAAGAAACTAGGTCTTAAATATTATAAACGTCAGAAGGCACCAAAGTATACAGAAAAACAATTTCAACAAATACCAAGAAAATGTCAAAAAATTAGACGTCAACTTACAACAGCGCAAACATTCATTATTGTCAATGATGAAAAATACTTTTCCTTCTTAAACAATGATATGCCAGGACATACTAGTTTTTATTTATTTGATAAAAAAAACATGCTCCAAATAACAAGATATATAAATCAAAAGAAAAATATGAAAAAGATTTATATGAATTTTTAAAAATTTTTGTTTTTCCCCATGTATACAAAAAAAATACGTTTATAAAGATCAATCATTTTGATAACAATGATTCAATCAAAAGATGTCAAATTAATATGACAGATAGAGGACACGACAAGCTATGTAATCAATATAAAAAGAATTCTTCTCATAACTGTTATATATATATATATATGTTTCAGCTTTGAACATTTTGTCCGAAAAATTTCCGACCACCGTTTAATGTCAAATTAGTAAAATAATTAATTATATTATTATTTCTATCATCATACCATTTTTTACTAAAAAAAAAAAGAAATAAAATTATTAATTTTATTTATAGATTTATATTCATTAATATACTTGTATGGACGAATTTTATATTCAATATTGAGAAAGTTAATTTCAACATAAAATATCCATGTTCGTTCAATCCAAAATGTTGATGAAAATTCATTTATTTTTCCAGAATAAATTGGATATTGATTGTCATTATTTATAGATTCATAATAATTCAAATAGAATTTTTCTAATTGAGGATAATAATTTAAAATAATTATTTCCCATTGATGAGCATCAAGCAAATCAATATTTTTTGAAAAACTAATAGATAAAATTTTCAAATTTGAATATATTTTAGTTGAAAATATTTCTAATTTATTAAATGTGTTTATTATTTTTTCTTGATAATGAAATAAAAAAAAATGAGTTTTAATTAAAATTGATGAAGAATAAAGAAGTTTATCAAATTGAGAATTAAGATTGGAAAATTTTTCAATTATTTCATAACCATTGAAATAATCAAAAATTTCATAAAAAATTTCATTTGAGAAATCTTCAATACAAGTTATTGATTGATCTATTAAAATAAAAATATCAATAATATTTATTTTTATTAGATAAATTACTTACTTTCAAATATCTTACTTTTTTCTTCTAATGATTCATTTAAAACGATTTTTTGTTCAAATTTATTCATATCTATTGTATTCATATTCTAGACAAATTTTTTTTTTCCGACTATTTCAATATTTTCAATTGACTTTTATATGATAATGAAACAAAAGAAGAAAAGAAAAACGAAACAGACGATGATAATAAGATTAATTTCAGACGGAAAAAAAAATGAGTCAATGATCATTGACTAATTATTTTGTTAATTTGAAATAAAATGATCAGTCTAATGATTGATTGACAATTTAATGAATATTTTTTAAATCTATAATTTATATGTTTTTATGAAATAGATTTTTATTAAAATATGATTATGATAGAATAAGAAGAAATATTTGAATATTTTCAAAATTTTATAAAAAGAAGGATTAACAATATTTATTATTATAATCATTTCCATTCCAAATGTATTTTATTACATTAACTTTCAATTATATATTAAGGGAGGAATTGTCGTTACACATGATTATTTTGTCTTATTTTTCAACAATTCGATTATTAACTAAACAAATAGAAAATTATAAACAACAGAATTAATGATTTATATGATTCAGAATATAAATTCAAAATCTTTTTTACAATATTTCAATATCAATATTATTAATAAGATGGAAAATTATCTCACGTTGCTGTATAGAAATACTAATGTACATTCTATAAATGATTAGTGGCCCTTTTTTCATGGTTTGTTCGATCCTGTCCTTTATTTTGTAAGATAGTTCAACGTATGTTTTGTGATAGAAAATGACTTGAGTATTAGTTAGAGGAATTTTAATTGTTCAATAAAAGTTCATTTTTAATGATGTGTTTTGTTTTTTCTTTTTGAGAACAAAAGTTAGAGCGCCTAGTAAGAAATCTTTTATGAAACTAACTATTTATCGATTCTGATTACACCTCTGATATTGATTATGTTAAGATATGAGTTGTGAATCGAAATAATCTGAGTCAAGTTCGTAAATTAACGACCTGATGGACTCTAGTTACAGATACAAATGATTCACTTAATTTAAAACTTATTTTATCGTTTCTCTAGAATGCTTATCATTAAAGAAAACAATCGATTTTAATTCAATAGTCTATTCATGCAATTCGAACGATCGTTATCTATATACAATCAATGTTCTTGTAGTATTCGACAAGTTTTTTTCTTTCTACCAGAGATGTCCATCGGGCGCTGCCACTACCACTGCCGCCGTGACATCTCTGCTTTCTACATCTAACGGATATAACATATATTGCAAACGTAATTGAACAAATCTCTGCTTTTATTTGCCTTCAATGAAACTTATTTTTTAGCCAGAAGATAAAGCTTTTTCTCCTCTTGCAAACCGTATAAAACTTCTTTTTTTTTGACAGGTACATATATGAAATGATGTAAAGAGAAGGGAAGCGTTTTTTTTTCTATAAAAATATCGATCTTTATGTCTTTTTGATAAGTAGGATCTGAAAAGAATATTATTTTCTATGAAACAATGTACCATTTATATTTGTGAGACATTGGTCAATGAAATGAGACAAGAAAACAAAAGGAAAAACATGGACACAATAAATAAATAATTTTTCGATGAACATGTCAAAAAACTCTTGTAAAACGACAGTTGATAATTATTTGTCATCTAGAAGATATTTTTGACGAGTTCATATAAAAACTGAAAATAAATTGTCTGAGTATTTTTTTTTCTTTTGTCTCGTTTCATCTACAAGCGTAGGATAAATATGAATCATAGAGTGTTCGCTTTAGGAGAATATTTTCTATAAGATGATGAGAAAAAAAAATTTATTTTTCAAGAATCTATTTATCAAAGAGATATAAGGATTGATATTTTTATAGGACAAAAAGTGCTTCTTTTGTCTCTTGCGTCCTTTTATTTATTAACGTGTCAGAAAAAACAAGTTGTATAGGATTCGAAAGAGGAGAAAGAATTCTATCTTGTAAAAAAAAATAAAACATTTTTTCAGCATCGTTTTATCGAAGATATATAAAGGTTGAACATTGTCCGATTAGTTTTTGAATATATATTATTTTTCTTTGAAATAGAGTCTTTATTGATAATAGTAGAATAATATTCTTTTTTTTTTTCTATTAAATTCTCCGAATATATATTTTAACCGATTAGAAATTCTATTGATGAGAATTTATTTAAAAAAAAAAAAAAACTATAAAGAAAGTTTTATTTAAAATTAATAAAAATAAAAGATTGAGGTGTATTAAATTCATTTGGTTGATCATTATTTTATAAACAAAATGAATACGTCCTGCATATTTAGCATGTAATTCTTCAATAGCTAATATAGTAAATTGAGTTATTGATATTTGATTTATTGGAAGATTATTTAATGTACCAGTTAATGATTGACCAATACGTCGATTAATATGTTTAATTGCTTGACGATATTCATTATTGATTATTTTACCTTTTAACCAAGTTGAATCAAGTAATGAACTTGAATTAAAAAATCTATCAGAGCTTGTTAATTTAATAATATTATTATCAATTAATTCAGTTGATGGTAAACGTGATTGACAATTATTTATATGTTTTTCAATATGTTTTTCTATATATGTTCGACCACGTCCACAATCCGTTGATTTTTGTTTTTTAGTTATAAGTCAAAATAAATACATACTTTCAATAGTGACGTACTCACAATATGACTTCTAGAGAGTGTCATACTCTTTTTCTTTTTCTCTTCTGTGAGAATTTCTAATGGCATATATAAGAAAAAAAAATTCTTACTTTTATTTTTTCCTATGTAAAAAAACATACCGGTAGAAGAATACTGTAGGGAACATCATAGTTTTTATTTAGCATAAAGAGTGTTTTGTTTAAAATAAATACATTTCGATTATTTTAATGAAATATTCGAAAAAAAAAACGGAAAAATAAATCATTTGTTGTTTTTTACTTGTTTACTTTTAATTGCCAATGTTTGTTTCATTTTCAGAAAAATTTAATAATAGAAAAAAATTACATAAAGAAAATATTTTCAAGTTTATTAAGACAACGATTTATATTAAATTTAATTTTTCTACAAAAAACCTTTTCTATAATCTTTATATGAAAAATTGTAAATATATATGAATTGTTTAAAAAGGTTTTCATAGTGGTTTTATTCAATAACAAGAATAAGTAGTGCTGTATTAATAATATTGTCTGTATGTACTTAGTTCATACAATCTTCTCTATTTATAGACATGAGAAGCTTTGATGATGACTAGGATTTTTTATCCTTACCTTTCAGTTTAAAATGAAAATAAAAAAGTACAACAAACATAAGAAAAAGAAGGGTGTAGGTATAGCTGTGGCTGTGACTGTGGGTGTTAATCTCTCTTTAACCACACCTTACACCCATACATCCGCATCTACACCCCTACCCTCAAGTGGTAAAAACGTTCAAATCGGCGATCAACTATGCATCTGATAATGTCAGTAATCCTTCGGATGCAGTTGTCTAAAATAAAATTGAAACAAATTCAGTAGCAGACTGTTGAAGAAGNGTGGGTGTGGATGGGTGGGGGTGTGGGTGTGAGTGGGTGTGGGTGTGGGTGTGAGTGAGGGTGGATGTGGGGTGTGGAGTGTGGGTGTGGGTGTTAGTAGATGTGGGGTGTGGGTGTCATGTAGGTGTCGGTTAAGGAAATATCTACACCCACACCGACACCCACACCCACATCCCACACACCCGCAACCCACACACCCACACCCACCCACACCCACCCACCCACACCCACCCCCCACACCCCCCCACCCACACCCCACACCCCCGCACCCACATCCCACACACCCACACCCACATCCCACACACCCACACCTACATCCCACACACCCACACCTACATCCCACACACCCACACCCACATCCCGCATCCCACACACCCACACCCACACCCACATCCCACACCCACATACGCACACCCACATCCCGCACATCCATCCACGAGAAATCATCTGGAAATTAGCCGATGCTCAACAGAGGAGCAGACTAGAATTATGGGCTTACATTCACGAGATCGATGAGTGAAAAAATGAAAATAAATGGAAGAGAATGGAGGAGCCAGTCGAACACTCGACCAATCTTCCTGAGATACTGAAAGAATCCGACGATTCTGACGAAGGTTCCATCGCATCGATCATTACAGAAACAACATCAAAATTAGTTCTTCCACCAGCTCCTAGAACAGAAGTGCATCGTCCTGCTGTTACAATGAGAAAACCAAGCGCTGATGAACATGATCCTGCGAAGGCAGCCTACGAACATATAAAAAAGATTCGTGAGAGATTTGGTGTCGACAGTAATCTCGATCCTACCAGTCAATCCATCGTCAGTAATTACCAAGGCCTACTCGAACGAAGTTTAGAAAAATTGTCTAAAGATCTTTTCTGTGAACAAGCTCATTTTGTCTTGGAAGTGATTCAGAATGCCGATGATAATCAATATGCACCTGATCGTTGGCTCACACTTCGTTTTATTCTATCGTCTGAGCGGATTCCTGTTTGTAACAATGAAATTGGGTTTCAGGAAGAAAATATTTCATCTATCTGCAATGTGAGCGGATCAACAAGAGGCAAACATAAACAACGCTACGTTGGCCATAAAGATAAAAGGAGTTGTTCGTGCATCAGTAGGAAAAGTTATCACACATTCGCTGGGTATAGGATTCAAATCTGTCTTTATGGTCTCCAATCGTCCAGATTCATTCAGGTCATTATCATTTTTGTTTTGATGCGATCAATGGCACTGAACAGATCGGCTATATTCGATCCATCTGGTTAGACGAATATGCTGAAGAGTTACCAGCAGCTGATTAATGGACTACATGTATTCGTCTGTCAATCAAGCCTGAAAAACGAAACGATCGATTGAAACGAAATTTTGATGATATTCAGAGTCGATTATTGTTGTTCCTCAATCGTCTTCGGCAAATTGAAATCATTCGTCAACAGGGAACGGCTGAACACAGTCGAATATTCACACGCATTGATCATGCAGAAGGACAAATCATTGAATTGCAAGAGCAGCGAAGTGACTCGAATCAAGTGATCCAGAATTGCTGGCTAGTGGTGAAAGAAAACATTTCAGTCGAACCCGAGCTAAAGGTAAGACGAAGAGTGTCTCGTCGAATTGTTTCGATTTTGCATTTCAGATGAAATTGAGCGATGCTAAATGTGATGTGGAATCAACCACTATCGAGGTGGCTCATTCTCTCAATCCTATTTTTGAAGCGTCATCGCATCAGATCCTGCCAACTCAACCTATTTTTGCCTATTTGCCACTTCGTTTGTACGATTTTCGATTTATTCTGCAAGCTGATTTTGAAATTCCTGCAACAAGACAAGAATTTGTTCGTGATAATATGTTGAATGAATGACTAAAGAATGAAATGGTTCAACTTCTTCCAAAAGCCTATAAACTATTTCAACAGTTACCCGAACTGCTCAAACATCGTTCAATGAATATTCAATCGCATTCATCATTAACAAAAATTCAAACTCTGAAATATTTTCTTAAATCAATTCTGACACATAATGAGCTCGATCCTTATGCTAATACATTCATCGACAAAAGTGTTCAATTATTGAAGGACGTTATTCAATTACCGGTCGACTGTGATGAGAAGAATGCCATGATTGACTGGATCTTATCGACTCAATGTGTTCTTGTCCGGGATCCATTCATTCGAGAGATGTTTTCACCAGTTACTTTTCTCCCATTTCAATCAATACTACCTCCATGAATAGAACATTCGTGAATGTGATGAAGCAACTTTGATCAAATTAGGCTGCCATCAATTGGATTTCTCAGCCATTTTACGATTGATTCAAACATTATACACTCAAAATGGACAAGAATACTCTATCAAGACAACGAGTATTGAACAAAGTACACGCTGTTTGTCTATCATTTTCAGACGATCGAATATCTGCTTGTTTTTAGTTACTCAATGGTTTCTCTGCATCGATTACAGTATTCAACAGCAGCGAGAAAATCCAGAATTCAATCTTAGTGATGATGGTGAATCAGAAATGACAAGTATGAATGAATTGAGACGAATGAAGATCATCCCATTACGAGACCAAGCACGCCTCGTCTCGATCGACGAATTCGATCAACGAACCATCCTATTTCCATTAGATAAGAAAACTCCATATGCGAAGTATCTTCGAGTAGTTCTCGAAGATACTCTGATGATTGATGAACGTCTTCTGAACTTGATTGAAGAAAAATATCCACGACGCTTCGAGTCCATCAAACGTTTACTGAAAGAGTTGGGATTGACCGAGGCATTGAATATTCGAAGCATTTATTTCAATCAAATTTTACCTGTGATGATGGACGATGCACAATGGCCGACCAAATCTGACCCCGTTCTCATTGCTTATCTCATTTGTAATTTCAAAGATCTTTATGCTGTTCAACCAGATTGATTTATGTCTGACATGGAAAAATTGAAGAGTCAAATGATTGTGAAGACATATCAGGGCAAATTCATTCGAATGAATTCGACTGAGAACAACATAGTTCATTTACCATCATCTTATGGATCTAACCAATCGCTGGACACCTTGAAATCATTACGGGATCAGTTGACCTTCATCTCTGATGATTATTTGAAGGAATATCGAGCCAAAGTCTTCATCAGAGATAATGAACGAAATCAATTTATCTATTTTCTCAATGATCTTGGTATTTATGATTTCTTCCTTGTCAAAACAATATAGAAACGTAAACCTAAATTTGCCATAGCAATCAACATGACTTTTGTATACTTTAGCTTTTATTAATGTTGAACAACTATCCGCAACTCAATGAGCTCATGAAATCGGTTCACTATCAGTCTCTCTCTTCGAACCATTTATTATCACCGATCATCGCTCTGATGAATTTGAACAATTGGTTTCAACCAACGATATTGACGATGCTGCTCGATACACTGAAATGTTGTCCTATCTCGATCGATGCTTTGACAGTAACACTACTTACTATGCCGCTACTATTGAGAGATCGCGTGGGCGACATACAGGAACAGCAATGCCAGTCAAAGCTGTGGAATCTTCATTTTGCTCCTCTTTACGTCAATATGCTTGGATACCTGTAGGTAGTCAACTTTTCAGACCAACTAATGTCTATCTCTTACCATCTAATCACCCTTTCAGTCGTTATGTCCCTCATTTGGATCGATCAAAAGTCGCATTGAAGAAAGTGAATTTCACCAAATTACTCAGCTTCAAACACGAAATTACACCGATGACGATGTTCGAGCTGTTCATGAAATGGTCATGTGATCTTGATCGAGATTCTAGGCTAGCATTGATAGACACATCCGCTGATCAATCATTGAATCCATAAGTATCCACTATTTCTTGTGCACAATCCATTGTTAATATTCTTCACTACTAGAATTCCATATGTGAAACCAACGACATTACATCGAAGTTGCCGAGATACTATTGCCAATTTTTGTCAAATCTACATCTTTCTTGCCTCGAATCAAGAGACGTGATTACTTCTTGCGTGATTTCGTTGATGACCATTAATCTTTATTCCTCGAACAGCTGATACGGGCGAGTTTTTCTGCAGTATTGAAGTAGCTTGGCTTGATCTAGACATGATACTGACAAAGAACAACAGTCAAGCGCAAAAGTATTCCTTACAACCCTATTATGACACAGACCCTCAATTTCAACAGTTCTTCATTGACATACTCTGGATTCAACGTGAACCAACACTGAATGATTATCTTCCACTACTGTCAAATATCACTCATCAGGCAAACGATTATATTTGGAAATGCATTGACATCATTACACGGTTAGCCTTGGACCAAAACAAACAAAAGCTCGTGAGAGGTACGTGAGCTAATTCATAATTGTAAGTGAAATATTGCTGCTTAGATCAATGTCTCGATTGGAGTTTTATTCCATGCTTGAGCAATCCCAATAAATTGTTTAAATATACGGAAAAGCTTTACTATCCACATGATATGAGCATCGCTTCTCTGTTTGCCGACATCTTACATATTGTCAAACTGCCGGAGAACCTATGGTCTTCTGCCGAATTCGAGTAACGATTCTGCTCACTGCTTGATATCAGTGATCTTGCTGATGTGCTCAAAGTATCTATTAGTGTCAATAATGAAGAACTATCGAAAGAATTACATAATTTCTAACTCATGCAATCCAGCTGATTCAACATTTCTTACTGACCAACAATTTCCTATCTGAATCGCGATCATCCCATCTTCAATCAGTCTTCTCTCGTCTTATCTTTGTTTCAGTAGATCAGATTCGTCTATCCTATCGATATCAAGAGAAACATGTACGAACACCCACTGCAACGTCTCAGTTGCACAGTTGTATTGATGAGTCGGTGGATAAGTTTTATATTCTAAATAAATATGAAAAATCCCAACGTCATATTAGTACGATGGCGAACTATCTTGTCTCGGATAAATCAATCAAAGAGAAGGTGGTTCACTACATTCGAGACCTCTTTAGCATTTATCTGAATGAAGGCATTGAAGGTTTAGCAAAACATCAAAGTAGATTTCCCCCACCAACACCATCGACGTGGATTATTCATGCCATAATCAAAAACAAACCGATCGAAACAATGATTGAACAGCGAGATACTGATGAGAATAATAATCCTGTAATACCTCCTGACATGTTAGAAGAAATGAAGAATAAACCTGGTTGGAGATTGGACAAACCCGTTCATCAAACTCCTGTCGATTCCAATCAGCCCAAACCAATCACCTGCTTTCCGGCAAGAGCTGGTATGAATAGTGATGTAGAACTATCTTCTCGTCCACCGATACAGGTAGTGCCAATAACACAAGTAGCAGTACAACCTACTTCGACTCACACTACTGATAATTCCACGAACTCGAACAACATGGCAGCAAAAGAGTAGGCGAAGGCGAATAAAGATAACACATCGGATGATGGATCGACTAAAACTCCTTTGACAACCACACCACTGGCTGATTTCGTTGTTCCTAAACCAACCCGCGCTAATTTCGAACATATTCACACCTCCACATTGAGGAATTTCAGTCTTTCACCAGCGACATCTTCGAATTCACCAATCTCACCTGTGGTCAATGCAAGTGGCAATGATGTGGATCTCAAGATTGGCCGTCAAGGAGAAGAATTCGTCTATCAATATCTGCAATGGAAACATCCTGAAAAGAAAATTGAATGGATCAATCGAGAACGAGAATCCGGACAACCCTTTGATATTCGCATCATGGGCAGTAGATCCAATGATCCCATCGAACTGATCGAAGTGAAAACGACCCGTTCGTCGAACCAAACTACGTTTCAAATATCGATCAATGAAATGAGATGTCTACTTGCCAATCCAAACAATTGTCATATCTATCGAGTATATTATGTTGACGGCAAGTCTTCCAGAATTACTATTCTTAATGGACTAAAACTTCATCTGCAGCAGAAACATCTGGCGCTCTCCATGACAATCTTATAAGAGCCTGACTCATAGTTTTACGCTTTTCTGATTTGATCAAAGAAAATCTTGCACGAGGATTTGAATTTAGAAAATTGCGTCATGTGATACTAAGAAGGTATTTCTGAAACTGACTCTTGTTTTTATTCTAGTCAAAAAGTATCGGATTTATTTTTTCATGTTTTTCTGCCGTCAATATCTTAGTGATGCGCTGAAGTTTTCATAAAATCTAAAGGTGTTTTAGTTGCAATTGACAGATGCAATGCATAAGATTTCGTACTTGTCTTTCAAACCCACTTCTCGACCAAAGTATGGAAACCAAAGCTGTTCGGCTCCCATCTTTCCATAAATGAGGCAAGAATCGTGATAAACTCGACCAATATACAGTCGGTGATTGTTTTCTTGACCACCTTGTAGAGCATCTGTAGGAATTATTCCTCTTTTGAATGGAACCCATTTCAACGCTCGATTTTGATCTGGATGAATTAAGACCTGATACACATTCGATGACTGTCTTTTGGAGCTGTTACCATTGTAGGCCAGCTTGTCTAGGGAAAACAACTTTGCGGGAGATAAGTATCCTTCTTTGGTGTAGAAACGCGCCACATGCAAGGTTACTTTGCCTTCATACCTTTCAATCACAGCATTCGGTGGAACTTCTCCATCGCATGTCAAGATCCATACACCTCCAATGTCATTATAATGTGATCCTATAAAAATACTCTAGTGGTAAATAAAGTTCTAGGCAAGACCGTATTACTAACTCTTTGCGTTACTTGAGAGTGAGGATGAGGGTGAGGGTGAGGATGAGTGATAAAGCATACTGTTATCGTGATTTTGGCCTTGCTCAAGGGTGTGGGTGTGTGGGTGTGGGGTGTGCGTGTGGATGTGCGGTGTAGGTGTGGGTGTGGGTATACAGTATTAACATCGGCACACCCACACTCGCACCCACACCGTCTCTATGAATCATATAACATTTGTCTTGACAATGACAGGTTATCTGTCGAAACGTCGACTTATCTAATAAATCATTTTTTAATAATTATTGAATTATTAAATAATTAGTAAATTTGAACTTAAAATGAATTTTAAAGCTGCTGTTATTCTTGTAAAATTTAAACCTACTAAGCAATCTTGAAATCCACGCTCAGGTACTATTGTATAAATTTTCAAAACTTTTGATGAATTTTAAAGAATTCTATTTAAAACTTCATGACACAATTTATTCCCATAAAAGAACCGTCTTTTTTGTATTAGTTCACATATCTTGATTATATCTGTTAGATGCACCATGAGAGAACGATATTCTCGACGATAAATCGCGTCTAAAGAGTCTCTAAGGTGTTGTATTGAACTCAAAGAATTGCTAAAAATGATCATTTTTATAAAATTCTTTTATACTTTTGCTTAAAAGATGTCTTAGAGCAGTTCTCTCTCAAAAATATTTTAGCATCTGGAGGAAGCCATTCAAAAATTACATCTTCCTATATCTAACTCAACAAGATAATATGTGTGGATATTATTTCATTTTGAGCGCAAAGAAGATCACTACTATGCAAAACAGGTCCATATAGATCGACAATAACAACTATTTTTATTTTAAATTTTTTAATTATAAGATTGTATAAATTTGTTTTCGTATATATTGTATATATTGTACAGTCACTATTGTTACTTTTCTTATATAATTTAGTTGTTTTATAATTATAAATAAAAATTTAGTTACATTTTAATCTCGAATGGTCAGGTTTTATTGCATTTTGTACCAACTTGAAGTTAAGAGAAGGGAACGGAAACAGAAGAGAAAAAAGAGTCGTGAAATCTACGACTATTATAATGATTGTTATAGTCTCCTTGCTATCGATAATACTGATACTATTTACCATGAGGAATATGAGAGACTTTAACTTTCCATTCCTTTCTTTTTAGAAAGGAAAATTAGAGAAAGTAGTAATTTCTTTCCCTAAAGAAAGAAAAGGAAAAGCTCTCGATTCCTTTCCTTTTTGAAAGTAAAAAGAAAATGATACGTGCCACCCCTAGTCGTAATTGCATCAACACTGCGGACACGCAACTTCAGCACCGTAGCGCATTTCTCCGTAATTTTAACGAGAAAACATACTTTGACGCATTTGCGAAGCAAGCACTAAGAAAAGCATTACATAGAAACCAATGTTTAGTTGACGACGGCATAAAAGAAAGTGGAACTCTTTTCCACGTGCACATCATCAAAATGAAACATTTTTTTGGTAAAGCACACAGCTTGTTCTACCACGATGCTTTCAGGCCCTGTTGTGAGAAGAATTTTCAATACTCGCGACGAGAATATAAGCGACCTAACCGCATCCTTTTATGAACTAGAACCTTTTGATTCTATCGTGCAAGCATTACAATGGAGCCAGATAAAAGTACGTGTGCCTTCGTGTATGAAAAAGACGCTGCATAATCGATTTATGTTGCCGAACATTATCTACGTCGGCTATGCAATAGGGCTTTTAGTGATTGATTTCAATGAAAATTTCAACACATTCTCCAACAATACATCTGTCGACAATGCCAGAAGGGCTTCAAATGCTAGCACAGTACGAATGTCTATTCTTGATCAGCCAATACAAAACAATCCATATGTGAATCAACTTTATATTGGTAAATCCTGATGCGAACTTGCGTTTCGATCAATAGTTATATATTTCTCAATTTTAACTATTATCATATGAATGTCACCTCAGTAAAGTTATCCTCTAAGTGGCGTATTTTTTATCTGAATTCGTCCTGTCACTTGCGCTATCTCACTAATTGGTCGTACTAGATACAAAATGCGATTTTCAGACAATATCGTTGGACAACCATTACCGCTTCGTAGTCAAATACTTGTTCGGACTCTGTTAATTATATTACCTGACTAGATTTATCGTACAAATCGTGTTGTCTTTCTGAAAGATTGTGAATCAAGGGGTGTTATTTTTGAGAATCTTCGTTCGGCATGAAATAAAGTGAGGATATGATCTAACGATCTATTTTATCCAGCATAACGCTCATCATTTAATGAAGAGTTCAATGTTCAATTGAAAACAGTCATTTAAAATGATTAGAGGTGTACTACGACGAATCACTATAGAAAAAGTGCTATGACTACCTGAAAAGCAGTATTTCACCATCTTAGGGGTGAAGGAAGCATGTGTGAGACAGTATGGCGAATGCAGAAAAGAGAAACTTCCTAGAGATGACTCTGTAATCACTTTATTTGGCTATAAACAGGTAATTTTTGTCCGTCAATGTCGTTTGAAAATAGTGCTATTCGATGCAGAATGGATTACTGCTTCTAGCACAACTGATTAGCGCGAGAGCACAAGAGGCAGAGCGAATGTGAATAGCAAATGCGTGAATCCGACGCCAACCATAACGATGTCATGAATACTTTTTTTTCCTAGGCTTAGCCATTGTTAATCTAATCATGGGCTTTCTCTATTGTTGGGCTTGGCGTAATCGATCACCATTTGATATTATAATGATACCTGAATACTTGAATCTGATTCAAGCAGGACTTTATTTGTGGTCCGCTACTTGGTACTCTAAACAAGACACTCTGGGTGGTTATTATACGATGGCAGTACATAGAATCGAACTTACTGCATCTGTGATTGGACTGTTTACTGCAATAGGATGGTGAGTAGAAAATATTGTAACAAAGGTACCATTATCGCACGTTTCACGATGCAAAGTATTCTATAGTAATTGTAACCTGGTGCAAGAAATATGTCATGGGTTCTTCGATTATGAGGGAAATATTACTATGTCTCTGCTAGGAAAACTTTCTTGAAAAATGCGAAAGATCAAACACGTGCAAGTAAAAAAAAGGAGCACCCTAGCCGGCTGTAAAATTATTGCTTCCCAAAACTATTCTACTGTGGTTTCTTGAGTCAATTATATGCGTGCATTCCAACATTCATTTCTATTTAAGCCTTCTTGTTTTTTCCATACGTTGGGAAGTTTGAATTTATGATAAATCCAAATTCTTTAAAAGAATATTGATTTGGAGCAATTTAGATGTATAAACTGATACTTTCATAGAGATATATGTGACAATTTTTGGTATAAGAAAGAGGTACCGCAGATGGAATCACGCTTTATTCGATTCTTTACATCATCAATCGCTCCTACATGCACATATGTCTAAGCTTTATATACGCAAGCATCAAACCTAGGCTAATATAACACTGAACGATAGGGACAAAGCATAGAACAAGAAGAAAATACAAAGTAAGGACAAAACACACGATAAGAACAAAATAGTAATCGATGTTACTGACTGCACTTAGCAAAGTTGGATATTGTCAGATGTCTGCAGTGAACATACAAAACAAAAAATGGATCAGTTGAATTTTGCTTCTCCAACCATTTGCTACGAGCAATTTTTCCGCAACGTTAAAGAAGTAATTCGAACGTGTTGATATCAAGCATCATAGATTACGCAGATTTTCACGTAGAAATCATCACCAACACGATAACAAAGACTGTCTTCGTCAGAAGATTCAATAACAGGAGAATCGATCTTTTCATCCACCACTCCCCGCCCCACACATCATTACACATGATAGAGTCTTGTTATACAGAGGTGCCTAATGCTATGAGGAGGATCCGTTTTCCATGAATTCTTACAGAGACAGATTGCGTTTGTACGGAGACTTCCCGGTTTCATGAAACACTGATTATCTCTGATTAATTTATTGCTTGTATATAGGAGTCATTTGTCTCGAAAACTTTCTCAAATTTCATTCATTGACAAAACTTCTATGCTGAAGTCAGAGCGTCTGGTTTAAAATGGGCAGTTTCATGCATAACAAAGTGAATATTTCAATCTGGGCTTTGCGTCGTTATTGCTTGTCATACCATTAATGACTGATACTTGCAGCCATGAAAATGCTTAGCTCTGGTAACAAATCTTTTTTTGAGCACGAGAAGCTGCTCATTTCTTAGTCTGATTGTTATATAGTTATGGTAGCCGTTAACTTTAAGATAATAAAAAAATTGACTTTGATTTTTTTTACGACTATTGACAAACAGAAAGCGTGATGTTTATTGTACTCGAATATTTTTTCGCAAATCATGTGAACCTTCTAAGAACGAAACGTTTCATTGTAGGATTGTATCATGGTTTATGACTTACACACGCATATTCGGACGTGGTTACACTTTGGATGATCCTGATATGATTTCTTGTCTGGCAATGGTAGCTAACGCGATTATGTATCTTGTATATAATATACAACTCAATGTTTCACCGGAACACTATGAAACTAATATGTTGTACAAATATGCAGATATTATCGAGTTTGTTGATGCATGCTTTTGTGTATTTGCTTGTTTACGAGACGATGACTGGTTTTGGTTTCTTCCATTAGCTGGACAATATGGCATCGCATTAGGACGAGTTCAAGTCGAGACGAAAACTCTACCACAATTCGGGAAAGCTCCAATACTCCTAACGAGTATGTGTCGACGAAGAAGAAGCATAATAGAAAGTCAGATATATTGCAAAAAAGACATGCGTAATGATATTCTCACTGTACCGATATTCGCCCCACCTCTAGAACACTCTATCACAACACATTCGTGATGGTTGTAGGTGTGGGTATGAATGAACATTGAAAGAAGGCTCACGTCTACACCAACCGATATCCCATACCCAAAACAGCCTTATCTGGACGAAAAAAGTTAGAATTAAATGCTCTTCGCCTCAAGCCCGTCACTTCGTCACTGAATCTCAACTGAACAAAATATTAAGTGCAAAAATGTTTAACGTAATATTAAGTTTTAAGCTTTATATTAACATTAAATACATATAATATTCGTCACCACAATTGATTTGGTCTTTCACTGAATCTGGCTTAACCTTCATCTCTCATCGTCTACTAGACTCTGTTTTGAAAATTGCGGCTAAAAAACGCACGTATGTAAAAAGAAATGTTTATTATGTTGCCAGAGATGAGGGCGAATGTGGGGTTGGTGTGCATGAACTGTGAGCTACACTCACACCCAAAGCTACTCTAGCAATGGCTATATCTTACTGGAAAAGTTTTCAGTTTCAACCATGGCCATTTGATCTTCAATAATTAATGTCATTTAGTCTTCGTGAGATATCATCATGATCTACAAATAGTAATTCAATATTGATAACAGAAGATGGTTATTCAAAAAATTTTACTTTTTATTCAAATATAATTCAACATTTAGGCGAACAATATAAAGTTCCTCAACAAGTTATAGCAATAGCTATTCTTTATTCAACAAGATTTTATGCAAGATATCTATTAAAAAGTATCAATAAATTGCTTCTTTGCTCAATTTGTTTATTTCTTGCAGTAATGCAGCTGTAACAATTTATAAAAATTATGTAGATTTATCAAATCAATTTTTAAAACAAATTTTCTTTTCAATTTATTTATATAGCATATATAAAATTAAATGTTTGATTATATTACACTTTTAAAAAGGATAATTTCAACTAACTCATAATATATTTTACAGAACCGATAACGAATCAATCTGAAACCGAACCAGTAAAACCTGATTTGTTTCGGTTGCCGATATCTTATGTTAAAATGTATTTCTCTTGTTTTGTTTTGAGTTCATTTTCAATCAAATTAAAACAAAAGGACTCATGTAAAAAAACGGTTGGTGAATCAGATCATAATTGTTTTTTTTTCAAATAACCACAAAAAATTGATTAAATAGGCCATTTTTTGATTAAATTTAAATAAATAATCAATTAAAATAGATTTTTCGCCAAAAAATCTGAATAATCGATTAAAAACCAAAAAGATTATCATTGATTTCAAGATTAATCTATTATAATCTACTTTGCTCAGAATAATTCAAATACTTGACAACAAGTAGAACTGCTGCGATGTAGTTTAATCTACTTGAAGAAAGTGCTCCCAAATACTTTTCAAAGTACTTCATGCAATGACAAAGTAATCATTAAGCTTTTCGTTTTAAATCTTGATTGACAAGGTCTGTAATGAGAGAAAGGAGGAGGGACGCAGACCGTAGAGCGATAAACGCAAAGCTTGAACTTGAAATATACACTCACTATTTACTGCGATAATATAGAAGAGTCCAACAAAGTTTAGTCAGTTTTCATTGATTGTAAAAATGATCTGTTAGGATAAGTTGCGTTTAGGCTGATATAATTAGTCAACCAGAAATTTAATCAGTTTTAATAGATTTATTTTAGTTTAGTCGATTTTTCAATTCACATCGATTTTAGTTGATTATTGGTGTAAGTATACCTTCTCTTGTTGAAACAATTTCTCTGATAGTTCTAAACTTGATAGAGTTGGTGACCTTGGTGTACCAGCTACACTGGAAAAAAACGCACCATACGAAACCCAAAAAGCTTCCGATTTTTGTAACGAAATCGAAATCCTTTGGGGTTTCGTAGAAAAAAGGATTCGTAAACAGTCTTAGATTTTAAGCGCTGATAGCAAGGGTTTCGTACATGGGATTCCGTATAATTTACCAAGAAACATTAAGCTGAGGCTTCGTCCAACGCCATACAACATGACAGAAGTACTGTTACACCACTACACAATGCAAAACACATGTACTCTCTTCAAAAGAACCCAGTTCTTTAGAAATGGACACGAAACATGCGTGAGAATCACCGTATCCTATAGGAAAATACACTACATCGCTGAGACATCGAATCAGCATTCCAAACGAAAACTTCCCCAAATTGTTTGCATGACTTCCCGTGCATCTTCCCATAACACGTAGCAAGTTGCTCGGAACTAACCAAACAAAATCAGGAAGGTTTTCACCAGGAACATGCTTCCATGTGCAGCTGATACCAGGTGCTTCCCTACACAATACGGCGATTTTCAGGCACTCTTAGCCAGTACATCCAGGTTGCGGTAGGCCAAACGATCGTCTTAGCATGTTTGATCTAAATAAAAATAAAGTAATTTATCTGCTTTTCACGATGAAAATACAACTCACCATTTAGATATGTTCATTTCATAATTCAGCTAAATAAAAAAAAAATATTTTATCTGCTTTACACTATGAAAATACAACTTACCATTTACATTTGTTCATTTCATAATTGATCTAAATAAAAATAAAATAATTTATTTGCTTTTCACTATGAAAATACAACTCACCATTTACATTTGTTCATTTCATAATTGATCTAAATAAAAATAAAATAATTTATCTGGTTTACACTATGAAAATACAACTCACTATTTACATTTGTCCATTTGATAATTGATCTAAATAAAAATAAAGTAATTTATCTGCTTTTCACGATGAAAATACAACTCACCATTTAGATATGTTCATTTGATAATTCAGCTAAATAAAAATAAGATAATTCATCTGTTTTTAACTTTGAAAATACGACTCACCAGTTCAGGACTTTGTTTTTTGTTCAAGTAAAACAATACGAAAAACAATAATTCAAGTTTAATATGNTGTTCCAAATCAGTGGCAAAAAAGCCTTACGATTTCGATGGATTGAGAAACCAATATCGGTTCTCATGAAGAAAATCAAATATACCGCGACACTTAAAAAATTTAACTAAAGATTATTTGGAATATATAACGAAAATCGATTTCAAAGTCTTGAAAAAAAATAAAATTTCTTATCATAGGGTGACGACAATTACAAGAAGAATGTCAACGGTATCGATTAGTGATGCAGCTATTTGTAAAACGAACGAAATACCGTCAACATTTCAAAGTAATAAACAATGGAACATTTTTGTTTTCGAACGATGATATATACAATTTGATGTTCTGGAAATCGAAAGATTTCAATCGAGGTTGTCTCCTTCTACTGACGCTCATACTGATGATACTATTTCACATGATACACTATCTTTTGATTTCTCGTTAACACATCGTCTCGAAGATTCATATGTGGGGAGCGAGACTAAATCACAGAAATTTTATTTTTTTTCAAGACTTTGAAATCGATTTTCGTTATATATTCCAAATAATCTTTAGTTAAATTTTTTAAGTGTCGCGGTATATTTGATTTTCTTCATGAGAACCGATATTGGTTTCTCAATCCATCGAAATCGTAAGGCTTTTTTGCCACTGATTTGGAACATTTTCGTGTCGACGTTTCTCTTCGCGCGCAGTGTCAGAGTATAGTGGTATATTGATCAGTAGGCATCAGACAATATCTGAATACCTAGATGCAAATTTTGGATTTGACATGACTGCTCTTGCAATGTGAGTTAATAGTTTATCAACTAAATGTAAAGAGCGAAGAAATGAAATGCATATCGAGATCTAACTAATTTCTGTCAAAGCTTTACAACTCGGGATTCGTCAGAATTTAGTTTACTGTATAGCAATGCTTTATAATAGTTAAAATAATAATAAGAAAACATGTTCAATAACAATGCCACGAGAATGTCAATATGAACAATGAGACAAATATACGCTAACTTGATGAAAAAAATTATATCACTTGAAAAACGCTATGTGTTGTTGAAATGCAGTCAATCAAAATATGATGGATTGTCTAAAAGTAGCTGATGCATCATTTATCCTTACATAGGGTCCCATTCAATAGTGACAAATTATTCTTTTAAGAGTCGTCTTACAAAAAAATAGTTTCACTTGAAAATTTCTTGAACAATGGATCAGAAATAGGAAAATTTTGAAAAAATAAGCGTCTGAACATCCATAAGTGCCTAACTCTGACTTGGTCCTGTTCAAAAATGTCCGTATTTTGTTGATCCTCCCTTGTATTCTTTTCTCGGCTGCCCTTTATGAATAAAACGATCCGCGAGTTTCCTAGTTTTTGATGATGATGATGCTTCAAGATGTAAAGAAGACGCGCCTAGACAACAAATATAGGAGATGATATTCAGTCACTCTAGAAAATTGTTTATTTTAGCGATCACACCATCTAAACAGAATGTTCCATTCCAGTCAAGAGATGAGGAATCGACCGAAATACAAACATCTTTACCATGCACTACTGTAGAAAATGTTTCCATTCCTGCTTATTTGGATCAAGTTGATGCACATGACAAACAAGATCAACGTTTTCTTAAAGCAAGAGCATGGTCTGCATTTCAAATTACAAATATAGAAAGCCATTTCAATGATGATTCAACAAAGCAACAAAATATGCCTCTGTCGACAACATTCCAAAATCAGCAACTGAAAGATGATTCTCATGAAACCGAACCGTTTCTTGTAGATGTTGATCAACATGGGCCAGTTCTTAAGAAAAAATATCGTTTATCATGCCGTGCATTCATGGGAACGATGTCTGAAATAGAAGAAATCTATGCTCGGGATGATTTTCTTTACGGCAATAAATTTCTTCGGCATATCTTTATTTTTATGGATTCAGTTTTTCGAGGTATCGGTCAAGTCATGTTTGCTAATAGCCCTTTGTCCGGTATTATCATTATGATTGGACTGCTTGTTGGGAATTGGGAATTGGCATTATATGGTCTTCTCGGAACGTGTGTGTCAACGTTAACAGCTCATGTTCTCGGATTTAATTATAATTTAATTCGAGCTGGATTGTACGGCTTCAATGGATGTCTGGTAGGCATGGGAATAGGTTTTTTTAGTTTTCCAAATTCTCCTCATATGATTGGCCCTATAATAATCATGAGTATATTTTCAACAATTTTCTTTATGGCCCTTGGCAAAATATTTGTTCAACGTCTTCAACTTTCATCATTCACGTTTAGTTTTCAAATATGTACTTGGGTATGGCTTCTTGGTTCCTTAAAATATCGTTATTTCTTCGTGAATGGAACCATACTATCTCCTAATATGTTAACTACACTTGTTGACAAACCTCGCTTCTTGAATATATCTTTTTCTGACTATTCTATTCAAGATAACATTGTTGGCTTTTTTGCTAGCATAGCACAAGTTTACTTTATCGAAAGTCCTTATACAGGCATTGTTATTCTTCTCGGTCTCTGTATATGTTCTCGAATTCTTTCATTCTTTGCTCTGTTCGGTGCCGTTACAGGTCAATTGACTGCAGCCTATCTCTTAGGACTACCTGCAACGGCAATTCATGCTGGATTATGGGGTTTTAATTCAGTTTTGACATGTCAAGCATTAGGCGGTATGTTTTTTGTTCTCTATGGATATAGAATATGGTTAATTACTCTTTATGGATTGATAATGACAGTGCTTGTTCAAGCAGCCGTTTCAGCTTTTCTTGCTCCGGTCGGTATGCCAACTTTGACTTTTCCGTTCACTTTAGTCTGTTGGATATTTTGTCTAATTGCTGGCTCCAAAGATTTAATTGCTGTCAAATTATCAGCCATCAGTACTCCTGAAGATCATTATCGTCGATTTTGTCTTTCGAAATTCGTAAAAACTCAATTTGAAATTCTGAATCATTTTACAAATTTTTCATCATCATCTGATGAAGATATTACAATAGAAGAATTTGCAAAGATCAAAACAGAATTTATTCCTAGTTTAATATGTTCGTATGTATATCGAAATGATATTGACAATTTAAAAATATTAACACACGAAAAGATCAATATGCATTCAATTGATTATAATTTGCGAAGTCCCTTACATGTATGTGCTTGTCAAGGTAATATGAGACTATGCAGGTGGCTTGTTGATGATTGCAAAGTTAATGTAAATGTGGTCGATAGTTTTGGTGGTACGCCATTATTCGACGCCTTTTGGCATGGACATTTTGATTTACTTCAATTTCTCTATATGCATGATGCTCGAATGCCAGCATGTAAAGCAAAAGAATTAGCATTTTATCTCAATGCATTTGTTTATGAGGGTAACTTGGAAGCGATACAATGTTTAGTTAAATGTGGATTTGATCCAAATATCGGCGATTATAAAGATCGAAATGCTCTACATTTAGCAGTGATTACCAATCAGTTTAATATTGTTCGTTATCTAGTTGAAGGAGCAAGTGCTCGTTTAGATGTAGTAGATTGTTTTCAACAAACAGCAATACAATATGCATCACATTTACCGAATTCGGTTATTGCTGATTATTTATTACACGAACGAGACAATTCTATTCCTGTGAAAATACCGACAGAAAAATTAATGCATCTCGAAACGGTCTTAATAACAGGTTCAGCCGACAAGAAACAAGACAAAGAAGAAGAAGAAGAAGCGAAAGAAAAAATATTTTCAATGACCTTACAGGAAAGTCTATTACCTGCTCTCTTCTCTATGAATACAGCTCATGATGATATTAAAATAATCTCCAGTTTTCTCGAACGATTTCCTCATCTCAAGATACTCGAATGCGTGGACTATGATTTTCGTACTGTAGCACATGTTGCTGCTGTCAAAGGTCAACTTCAGAATATTCGATTTTTTTCTCAACATTGTGATAGTTCTCATTTCGAGTGGATTATGAATCGCGAAGATCGATGGGGTCTATCGCCCATAGATGAAGCCTATCGTCATGGACATTTTGATATTTGTAGCTTTGTGAGAGAACATTCACTTTCTCATAACGATACAACTCATAGAGAGATGCCGCATTTACCAGAATCGACGTCTGAGAGCAATGCCATCGTTCGTCTGCTACGAAAATGGAAAAAAATATTTCTTTTTTCTACATTGGCTGCTTCTGGCGCAGCTGAACGAATCGATGGACTTTTTAAACGTGGCTACTTTAATCGAACAGAAGCCTATGCCGATTATGACGGTCACACACCTATGCATTCGGCTGTAGCCAATGGGCATATGAATGTGGTTCAAGTGCTTCTTCGATATGGATACGATGGCACAACATACCACGATCGTTGGGGTAATTATCCTGTTGATGAAGCACGACGAAATAAACTCCATGAAATTGCTGATGAACTAGAGCGACCTAGACTGTGATACATTTATATGTACACATTGCTATTTTACTTATTAACAGTGGTAAAATTTTCAATAAAATAGATAGTAATAAGAGCTGTACACAATGATGTTCAATTGTGAAACGAAATGTATTGATATAGCTTTGGTAGGATACGTTGACTTCAAGGGTGGGTGTGGGTGTGGATGTTCAGAAGGCTAACACTCCATATGTACATTGCTCGAAGACCATTTGCTACTGTTTGGCCGACAAGTTTGATGATCAGTGATTTTGAAGAGATGGACCAATATTATAAGCTTTGCAGTCGCTAGACTCAATACCATTGAATTTATTTTTAGGAGAATATATCAAAACTAATGTCTATAAAATGACTATTACACATCTGAGAAATTTCATATAAAACAAGAGCAAAACTTTTGTATTTTAATTAGAAGTTATAGCTTTGAAGGATGGTTTTGAGATTTGCTTGCATAAGTAAAAAATCGGTGTATTCACCTATTATTAAAAAAAATATATTAGTTGATAAAGCTAAATCAAATAGTAAGCATATACGAAAAAATTTTCAGGAAGAGACTTTTGGGACACTTAGTAGAATACCATTAGCTTTTGAACGTTGAAAAATTTCAAAAGAGGAGAAAACGGTTTTAATTGAAACTTTTCCGATGAAGAGGCCTACTCGTAAGCAAAATTTTTGGTCAAAAATCCTTTATTACATTTTTGTACTAAAATTTCATCCAATAGTGAAAATTCAGTGGAACCGTCGTAATTATTTACTGAAAGCCTATGAACCAGAATCTTTCGTGCTTACACTCTAATCGAAAATACTTCTTTATATAGCGGAAAATAATAGATCATTTCAGATAATGGCCTTTTAAATGGTTGTTCCAATAATGGTTGACAATAAAAGAATGATTGATCAAGCCAACCTTTGTTACTTTATTAATCTACATAGTTTGTTTCTCATGACGTTAGAAATAACATTTTCAGAGATTATAATTATATCTTCTGCAAATAAATGTTTATTTTCCTCAAGTTGATCTATTTGTAGCAAAGCTCAATAGTAATATAAGAAAAACCTTATGAAAATTTCATGATAACCAAAATTTGATTTTATCTTATAAGAAGAAAACGAAATGAACAAATATACAAATTAAAAATATAAGTTGAATACAATTTTATCTGACAAAAAGAAAAGCTATCTTGAATATGAACATAATTACTTTAAATGTGTTTTAAAAAAATAATTATCAATACCATTTGTTCGTTGTGGTGTTGTATTAGATTTTCTTTTTTGTCGCTTAGCTGGTGGTGTTAGTTTTGTTTGTGTTAAATTAATGCTAAGAAAACAAAAAAAAAACCATATTTGATGGGAAACATGAAAATATCTTAGGAGATACCGTTTATGATAATTTGTTTGAGGTGATGTTTGTTGATCTTGTTCTTTAATTGTTGTTCGAATCATTTCACCATTTAAACATAAATCAATATGTTTATTTATTTTATCATTATCACCTAAAAGCATTTTTTGACATACAGGACATGTTGTTGTACTCGTATTAGAATTTTCATCATCAAAATGAGTTAATTTGGAATCACAATCTTCATTATGTTGATTTTCAATTGATAGAAATTCTTCATTCAAATTTTCTTCTTCTCCCTCGTCATCATCATTATCATCATTATCAATATCTTCAATCATGTCATGGATATTTTCGTTAATTGTTGTTGTTGTTGTAGATTTTTTTGAAAAAAATTGAAGAATTGGTAAATCAGAACTTTTCATTTTCAAATCAGATACTCGTACACCTGAAAATTAACGAACAAATATAACTCTTTAAATAGACGGGCAATTTAAAACTACTGTAGAGTCAATCTGATTTTCGACTCTTACACTGAATAAAACAATGAATTGAATCGAACCATGATAAACATTCACCGGAAAATATTTTTAGACTCTGGTAAAACAAAAATATCGATACCTGTTAATCACCAATGCTGGTCTCTTCTGTACTTATACCATGGTCTCATTTAGCAGAAATTCTTATGTAAAAAAAATCGTAATAGAAAATGTTCTGTTACTTAACTTAATATCTCTGTTTTTCTAAAGGTTTTATCGTCGTGTGCATCCTAGAAAAACTCTAGTATGAGGATAATGTTCGGTGGTAACTATTGATTTCGATCCTTAACTTATTTTTCTTACCCATAAGACGTAAAGCTGGTAATTCAAGATCTTGATCAAGTTCATGTTTAAGTAAAGCAATAACTTTATCAGTTATTACATTTAATGAATCTGTATAAGATGAAAGTGTTTTTGAACGTGTTAAAATTTCAAAATTAACTGTTTTGATTTTAAGTGTTATACGTTTACATAGAATACGATCAGATATAAGTTCATCAACTGTTTTCTTTGCTAAATCACGACAAAGTGATATTAATTGTAATGAATCACTTGTGCCATTAAATGTTCTAATGATAAACAAACGAGACAAAAAAAAATTGATTAAATAAAAGAAATTTAGTTTCGTGTTATTTACGTTTCGTGTCCAATACTCTTTTGTAAATCATCATGTTCAATAGTTGTTGAACCACAACCATTACAAACACGCATAAGAAAATCAAATGTTGATGGATATTCAATTAATTTAAGAATTCCACGTTTAAGATAAATATCATTAACTGTTTGAATTTGAAGTGATTCTAAATGAAGCGCAGTTACTTTTCCAATACCTTTTATCTATAATGAAATGAATATAAATTTGATAAATAATCATGTTTATAGTTTTTTTTTTCTTTACTTTTCGTATTGGTAAATTTCGCATAAAATGTAAAATAATGTTTACATTCGATTCTAATTGATATTGTCCATTTGGTTTATTAATATCTATTATTTATAGAATAGAAAATAAGACAAATTTGTAGGACTTGATTATTTTACCAGAACATAATTTAGCTAAACGCATATTACATGCAATACCAGCACTAGCTGTTAATCGTGTTGCTAAGTGAATTCGATGCCGAATTTCTTGAACAGTTTCTTCAGCTGTAATACCAAATGTTATTGTCTCGGTTGAATTTTCCTAAAAGTTTCGAGTTAAATTTTCAAGTTTTTTGTATAGAATCAAAGACTTCAATGATATAGAATTTCGATGATCATCAGCATATTGTGAAGGAAATTTCATGCATTTCATAAATAATTACAGATAACTACGAGTCAGTAGTTTTGAATATTACATATGAGACCCTTTCATCAATAATATGCAATAAGAGAAAGTTTAAAAATACGATTCTTTAATTGATAGAATAAGAAATGGAATTCCATCATTGTTGAAAATAAAGAGTATATAAATAAAATAAAATTCTTATTATAACTTATCGAATTTTTTATGGTCCATCGTATAATCGAAAAGGTTTTAGACAAGATGTTTATTCACTTTTGAAAGTGTAGATATGATATATATTGAAATATGAGAGGTATGAGAAAAAAAATCGTACTTCTTTTGGAAATGTTCTTTGTTCTTCCGATAATGTTGGTCGTATTTGTAAATAGTTTGTTAAATCTGCAAAGGCTTCATCAAGACCGCACGAACCATAATTTTCATCATATTCACTAATAATTTTCCTACAAGAAAAATATAATATATTTTCGATAAAATCAACCAAAAAAAAAAGAAATTATTTGTTCTCACATGACTTTCGAACTATCCGCTCGATATTTTTTAAAATCGCATGGTACAATAACTAGATTCGGACAGAGATGTCGTGCAATAAAACCAGGCATTGCTGCACGTACACCAAATTGCCGAGCTAAATAATTTGATGTTGACTGAAAGCGGAATTCGATTATGTTCAAAATAAACAAACTACTAAAGATACTTACCAACATGCCTTCGCCACCGACTGCCATAGGCACATGTTGAAGTGCTGGATTATCTCGCATCTAAAAAATAAAAATTTAAATCTTATTTTTTTTTATCATTATTTTTCAACTTACTTCAACTGATGCATAAAAAGCATCCATATCAATATGACAAAATGTTCGAGATAGATCTCGAGTTTTATCTAATTGATTTAAATATCGATCAGTCTCGAATAAAAAATACAAAAGTAAACATGGGAAGAAAAAAAAATATTCTCTACTGATTTTTCAGCTTGTTCAATTTGAAAATTTGAAAATGATTTTATTTTAGATAATTTAACTTCAATTTGTCGACGATTTTCCTAGAAATTATTTCGAAATAAAAACCGTTTTCTTTTTTCAATAGCCTACTTCTTCGCGTCGTTGTTGTTGTTTAAAAAATTTTGAATCTAATTATATAGATTAAATCTATGTAAAAAAAAATATTCTCTAGCATACTTTTAGATGCTTCTTGAATTAGTTTATTAATCTTTTCTTTATCCAAATCTGCCATACCAGCTTTCGTATCATCAACATTAAGAAATGTAGTTCGACTCATGTTTTCTGAAAAAACAAGAAACATCTGTCTAGAAGCCCGTTTTATTATTCTACAAATTAAATTGAAACGAAAACAAAAAAAAAAGAATTTTTTTTTAATTGTAAATTTATCACAAAAAATATATTATCAAGAATTTGTATCTTGGTTTGTTTTTTGTTGATATTCAAACATAGCATCTAAAACTGCCCAAAGACAAGAACCTTGTGGATAATCATTATCGACTAAATTAACAAGAAAATAAGTATTTGAGATTTGCTCGATGATTGAATATGAACGTGAGCCCGCTTCGTACAATTTACCCCAGCGTTCCATCCATAAATTAAACGCTTCATCCTTAATATAAAAAAAAATAAGAAGAATAATTGAAAAAAAAAGCGTTTAAGTTTGTTACCTTCCAGATCATAAAGCTAACCGGATCGACAACTGTTGGTTGAATAATTTCTTTACCAGGAAAAACACCCCATGTTAATGCAATCGGTTGTTCATCATCTGTATTTGTTTCATTAACTTCGCCCTATAAATCATTTTTCTTTAAATAAATTAAGATATAAACAAAAATAAAATTCATACGGATTTATTCACAAAATGATAATTAACACCAGGAAAATCTTTCAAAACAGCACGTAAAGCTGGAATGTTATTTGCACTTGTAAAAAATTCCAAATAAGCCTTAAAAGAAAAAAAACAAGAACAAATCATAAATTCATTAGAAATATTTCATTTCTAATATTATTTACTTTTTGATAAATATAACCATTTTTTTCACCCCAACCGAATATTGGATCTGTACTTGGTTTTCCGTTAACTGCTGGTTGTGAATTAATTGTTAAAATTCCTTTTCGATTGTATTCAACTAATTCATTATGTATTAAATTTGTTTCAAGTGACATATCTTCATCTTTCCATGGAAAATGACGAACAATTTTATCTGAACTATTTTTTTCTCCACCTATATAACAAGCAAACATTTTCCAAACGTCTTGTTCGCTTGTTAATTCATGTCCCCATTCATCAAGCAATTCATTATGTGCTGCATCAATTTTCAGATAAAATAAATGATAATCAGTCAAAACACCAAATGATGGTGCCGATGATATACCCCAACGTCCATTTGGAAATTCATTCCAATTTGATGTACGATGAATATAAGATTTTGGTCGTGTACTCCAAAATATAGGACGAACATCTTCTTTTGAACGTACATGATTTCTTGAAGTTTTTTTCCATGGTAAAGCACGTAATGGAGGATCTTCAAATCCAAAACCAAGTTGTTTTAAAATTTCAGTTGTTGCATATTCACGATTTAATGTATAAAAATGAAGTCCATGTACCTTGCCAGAATCTAATAAAGCTTTACAAAGATCAACACATGTTTGAACACCAAAATCACGTATAGCTTGATCATTATCTTTGATAGATTCCATATGAGTTTGAATTGCATCAGGTACATCTAATTTAGTTAATCGAACAATATTCTTAAAACTTGCATAAGCCTAAGGTTTCAAAGAATTTCTTATTTTTTTCTCATTAAAACTTTTTTTTTTTACTTGAATTGGAAATATTCCAGGAAGGATTGGACATGTAATGCCGACAGCTCGACAATCAGATTGAAATTTAAGAAATGTTTCTGCTTGGAAAAAAAGTTGTGTTATAATAAAATCAGCTCCACAATCGACTTTTTCTTTTAAATAACCTAAATCCTCTTCATAGTTTTTCGAATCAGGATGTCCTTTTGGATAACCTTCAATCAAAAAAGAAAAGAAAATAATCACCTATACATTTTTATTAACAATTATTTAAATTTACCTGCAACACAAATAACAAAATAATCACCAAAATGCTCTCGAATAAATTTAACTAAATCAGATGCATATCGAAAATCATTTTTTTCTGGATCCCACGTTTCTCCTACTGGTGGATCTGCAAATAAATTATTTTATTTTCTTTAGATTAAAAATCATTTCTTTGTAATTTAACATTTACCTCCACCTAATGCAAGTAAATTTCTAATACCGAAATTTTTTGCTTTCGAAAGATATTCAATCATTGTCGCTTTTTTAGCACCATAACATGTTATATGTAACATTGTATCAATATTACAATAATTTAACATTGTATTAGCAATCATCATTGTACTTGTTTCTTTCGTACCAGCTGGATCACCGGCTGTATGCCATGTTATATCACAAAATAACGGATCACCAGTAGCCATACGTTCCAAACTATTTCACAATAAAGAATAAATTAAAAGACAATGAAAATACGAAATTATTTACCATCCAATCAAATTTACAGCACCATTTGTTGTACGTGGTGGAAAAAATTCAAGTGAATACCAACGATCATTATTAGCAATTTTTTTCTCAATTTTTTCTGTTAAACTTACATATTTAACTGGTTGAAGAGAATTTCCTCGAGCAGCTAAACACGCATGTTCACTTTCCGAACGTTTTAAATCAACAAAATGATGCGATGAATTAGACATATTTTCAGCACCAATGCCATTTTCATGCGCATCGTGATGATTAGAAGCAGTATTTTTTTCAGTATGTGTTAGTGTCATGATGTGTTTTCGAATAAAATATAATTACATATGGTTGTTAGAGTATATGTAGACAAAAAATTAATTTGATCAGATGCAATTATTCGTTCTTGTTATCACACGTACAGTGCGTGATTTTATGGATGTTAACCTACAAAAAAAAAAATACAGAGAAAAAAATAAAACGAATATACGCAAAAAAAAACAAGTGCCCTAGAAAAAAAAGAGCGTAATACAGCTGAAAGTTAAGGACATTATTGACCTTGCAAATCTTAATGACTATATATATCACGTTTACAGGAAGTGATCAAGGTTTTGGGTACAGTAAAATTGAAAATAATGTTCTTAATTGTACAGACAGACCAAGGAACGTCTGAACTGGATGAAACAAATATCCATTCAACTATCAATAGATATTTTCAATGGAGGTCGCTAAGACACATTGTCCATACTTATGCATGTATTCAACTAAAGAACCTTGTAAAACAATGGACTTTGCCTTTAAAAGAGAAAATAATAGTATGATCGACATTAAAATGCAAATATTTTTCCTCTTTCGCAAGTAACAAAAGTACTAATAATACACTTTAATCTTATCTAGGGTGTGCACTTCAATAGAATGCTATCAAGTTTCACTGAAATAATCACAAAAACATATAAGCACAGATGAAGAATAATAAAAAAAACGTCCATCGAGTTTTTTCTTTATCAAGTTTATTCTTATGCTGTGCATAAAAAAACCTTATAATATATATATAATTCTTTTTAGATGTGAGTTTTCGTGAATATCAAAATGAACAATAAATCTTGTTATACATTCTCGAAAATAATGGATTATATTAGGCAAACACGTTTTATGATTAATCAATCGATTTACTAAATTATCATGAATTAGCAAAAATCTTCCTATTACTCTTATTCATTGTCATTCAGTACATATCTTCATTTTTCTGTACATATTATGTTTTTATTATTTTTTTTGAAAAGGCTTGATAATAACAAATGGTTCGACAGTTTTAGACAAGATTGTTTTTCTTTTTAATTTATCGACCGATTAAAAGTGTCAGCAGATATTTTAAAACCTCGAACTAGAACCAGAAGTTTGTGTTATTTGTGAATCGAGATTCGTAATTTTCGTGTGACCCATTGTTTAGGCGTTGTGCACGAATCTCTAAATGGCACGACAATCAAGTTTGGATGGATTTCAGTACACAACACAGTGCCTGAGCTAAAAGCAAAATTTATGTGAAATATACAAAAAAAAAAACAAGAACAAAAATTTCTCTACGAAATAATATTTTAATTGTTAATTTTCTGTAAAGTGTCTAACAGCAATGAAAGTTTCGGCGAATCACATATTGACATTTTCGTAGTTTTTTAATTACCAGACTTATAGAATCAACTCGATCATTTCTGATGAATTACTACAAGATCTGTGGGTTTTAGCACACCTGTTGAGAAGAACGGCTATTATCTGTGTTGATCCAAAACAAATTTCAAAACACAAAACAGTCAAATATTCTGTATGCGCAAAGTTTCAGATCAAAATTCGATGACCTTGTCAGATTTTATTGGGAAACTCAAGCCTTTTAAGATTTTTATTAGAACGCTATATAGTATTAATAGACAAAGAAATCATTGAAATTGGAATGGGAACAGCTGAAGAGATTCCCTCGTAATCGAAGTCAGTACCTTTAGGACAGAGATACAAAGGTACCGAGAAAAAAAACTGGTGAAAAAACACCACAGAATCAAGTTCCAACATGATAAAATCATATTCTTCATCTAAACTTCATTTTCAGATCATTCAAAAATTCACGCATAGATTTCAAAAAAAAAAAACTACAAAATTCTAACACGATGCTCTCAAAATTTCTGCTGATCCTTCAAATCGGTCGAAAAATAAAGAAATAATTTTTTTTTCGATCGGTTAAGTTCGATGTGAAAGAAAAACACCACATAAATGATAGCAAAATTAAAGTTCTGTACTCGACTTCATCTATGAGAAAATAAAAAATAATAATTTGTATATCAAATACAATCTTCGGTTTATTTTGTTGCTTAACGATATGTGTGCGTTTTCTTTACAATGAAAATATCTTTGTTGTTAACCTTCAAAATTCAAGCATATGGAAGAAGAAAAAACAAGCGTTCTTTTTTACTTTTTTCTTCTACCAACAAATTCTTGTTCTTCATCATCGTGGTTGATAAACGACCGTGAATTGTGAGTTGGCAGAATAGAAGCAGTTGGTAAGAGAATACAAGACTATTCTTTATTGGTAATGCATGTGTGTTGATGGCAAGTGGTAATTTGACAAATTCTATTCATTCACAAGTAGAAATTCCAATTTCAACGACTGACATTCGAAGAAATAAATTTGAAAAGAAAATTGTTGAAAATTTTATACTTATTTGGTTGGATAAAAATATATATGAAACATTCGAACAATATGAAAATCCACTTCAACTATTTCAATCATTCGTTAATACAATAAAATTATTTTCTAATCCAGATGAATTTTACAGATTTGTTCAAGATATTAAAGATGAAAAGCTATTTATAATTACATCAGGTAGTCTTGGTGAAAAGATTATTTCTCAAATAGAAAGTCAAACGTATATTTATGAAATTTATGTTTATTGTAATGATAGAGAATATCATGAAAAATGGGCAAAAGATGTTCGAAAAGTAAAAGGAGTTTATACGGATCTTCGATCGATTCGAGACGCATTTCGACGAGATATACGTCAAACAACTAATGATTTAATACCTATTAGTATTCTTCCAACTGTAAATTCAACTGAATTAGAACAATTATTTACTTGTTCATTATTATTAAAAGAGATTTCGATTCATAGTGAATCTAACGAACAAAAGAAAAGAGATTTTATTGAATATTCTCGTTTTCATTATGATGAAAATTTTACACAATTAAATATTATCAATCAATTTCAAAATAATACTTATAATCAAATATCACCTATTGAATGGTATACTAGAGAATGTTTTATTTATTCGATGATAAATAGAACATTAAGATTATATGATATTGAAATTCTAAATAAAATTTCTTTTTTTATTCGAGATTTACATGAACAAATTAAAGATTTACATATGAAAACTAGTAATAATACAAAATTAATTGTCTATTATGGACAAGAAATTTCAAATGAACAATTTAATAAATTATATATAAATATTAATAGTTTAATATCTTTTAATAATTTTTTATTAACAACAATCGATAAAGAATCTTCATTTTATTTTGCAAAACAATCAGAAAATGAGTCTAATTTAGTATTCATATTATTTCAAATAGAAATTGATCGTTCAAAAACATCTTTTCCATTTGTAATATTAGATGAATTAGATTATTATCATGATACAGAACAACATATTCTTTTTTCATTAAATCCAATATTTCAAATTATTAAAATTGAACATATAGAAGATAAATTATGGCAAATTAATTTAATTTTAATAGATCATACTGATAATAAATTAAAAGATCTCAATTGTACAGTACAAAAAAAATGTGAAAAATCAAAAGGATTTTATTCATTAGGTCAGATAATATTTGAAATGAATGATTTAATTAAAGCAAAATATATATTTGAAATCTTACTTCAAAATACAATTGATAATAATCGAAAACAACTATTTGATATTCATCGTATGCTTGGACGTATCAATCAAAAATTGAAAAATTTTCCAAATGCACTTTATCATTATTATGAATGTATGAATATTCAATCGTCTTATTCTTCATCGAAAGATTTTTTACTTTCACCAACTTTTGCTGCTATTGGTGCAATTCTAGAAAAATTAGGTGATCATAATGAAGCTATGAAATATCTTCAGTATGCTGTAGATAATAGTCATCAAATCACTAATATTGATTCATCAATTACGGCAATATTTTATATCAATATTGGTCGAATCTTCTATAAACAAAAGCAAAATCTTGAAGCACGGAAATATTTTGAACTTGCATTGAAATTTCAACAAAGTGCTCGTATACATGATGATAATTTACTAGCAGAAATAAATCACTATTTAGCGAAATTATCTTAGAATATTCATAAATATGATATTGTTAAAGCATTTCAAAAAAACTATTTTTTTTTAATAGAATTATTTTGTAATATAAAAATTTCATTTGTGTTATATTTGATAATATATAATTTGGATCAAACAAATATATATTTGTTTCATTCATCAACCCAGGCAAGCAAAAAATAAGAGAGGATGCCCGACATGACCAGTCTAAGATGTCTTCACTACCGTCTGGTCTAGTCTGAAATGACTTGCAGCCCGTCAAGACTGGTTATCTTGACGAGCAACGTCTTGCAACCTAATGTAGACTAGTCCAAAACATGCTCTTACCCTGTCATGATTAGTCCGTTTTGTATGTTGATACAGTCCAGACACGTCAGCGGAACGACAAAAGCCAGAAGAAAAGAAGACGATATGTGGATTCGAGCATTCAATCCGACAATATTGAATACCTGATTAGTCTAGACCGTTTTCGATAGTAATGCGGACTAGTATGAAGAGTCATCTGTACTGGTCATGACTGGTTGTTTTTAAGAAAGTAGTGCCATTTTTGGTCCAGACTAGTCTACAATCTTCAAACAGTCTTTTTTTTCTTGGACTTTATTATCCGGGCAACTCATTTAGACCTGTTTGTATGGAGACTAGAGCGATGTATCTAATGAGAGTTGCCTATTTATATCCTTTAAATTTTTACAGTGTAATAACAACTAAGAATAATTTTATTAGAAAAATTAATTTTAGTACTTTTCTATGAGAATATTATTTTATTTTAAGATAAAATTTGATGATTTGAAGTTAAAACCAGATTTAAACCATATAATTATAGTTTATTTTCCAATTTAAATTGGAAATATTTTAAATTCAGATAATCGTAAACTTTGATATGAAAGATAAGATGTTTTTTTGAAATTTATGTTATTTTTATTTGGTTTTTAATTTTTGATTGTTTTTCAAATAGAAAATAATATTTCCCAAATGTCGATGGTCAAAAAAGAATTTCTTTTGAAGAAAATTTTAAAAAAATCTGAATTAATTTTATTTAGCGTTATTTAACTAATTTTCGATTTTATAATAAGTGTTTTTTATTAATATTAAAAATTGAGAAAGCGCGGAGTGAAAGCAGGGATGGGCGAGTCAAGCCATGTTTCGAGTCAAGTCCGAGTCATTTCGAAATGGTTTCGAGTCGAGTCAA